AGGGAATGACACTTAAAGGAAAAGAAGAGCAGAAACCAGACTCTGCAAGAGCATGGCCAGAGACATGTGACTGAAGAGTAGGAGTAGTACATAGGGAATGCGGGTTGCAGTCACTGATAAGTCACAATGATAATGCCAATCAATACATCATAGTGACTAGAAAGAATGAACCTCAATCAATGATAACAAGCGGTACCCCCTCAGGAGTAGGCTCTACTGTCTGGGACTCCATATCCGGTATAAGTTGGTCCTCCTCATCATTAATAACCTGGGTCGTGATTGACTCTAGAACCACATAGCTGATATCCAAAGAGGTTGTCGGGTCAATCTCCAGAATGTATGCCATGCATCGAGCCATCTCATCGCCCGTGACACTCTTGAGGTAAAGCTCCTCGGCAAGGGTAATGTTCCCGGCGGCTCCGATCAAGATCTCAATTGGTCCCTTGCCATAGATGTAGTCGCATGAAACCTCCAGGAATCGATCTGCGTAAAGTGGCTTCCGAAAAGCCTGCATAGCAAAGTTTGCTCCAACCAGGTGACTGTTGACATCCCCAAGAAAAGAGATTGGTCCCTTCCCTCTAGAGAAATCGGCTACCTCCTCCGACTTGGGTTCTCCTGACATATAATATCTCAATCAATCTCCCTCAAGTAGGTATCGTGCCAAGAGATATGCAACCCGCCGTAGGGCTGCCTTCCGCTTATGCCTCGTTCCAACAGCCAGTGTCACGAGTCGTCTAAAGTCCACTCAAATCCTAATGAGCTCAATCCCTGTGAGTGTCCCAATCAAAATAATCCCCCAGGTCAACGTCGCTCAGGCAAGGCTCGGGATCAGACTCATAGGTCTCTGGCCTCCAAGTATCAATGGTAATAGGGATTTTGGACTTGACTATCTCGCTCCTGATCTGCTCATCCTTCCGCCTTTTGGCCTTACTGTGTACCTTGCTGAGGGGCTCAAGGTTACATCCATCAAAATCGAATAGAGCACCACTCAGAGCCAAAGGGACATGAGGGAACACTAAATGCAACCAGTTTTCCCTCCGTTAGCTCTCTCTGCGGAAAATGTAGTCAGCAATCCGGTCATGAGTCCCAATCTTCACGCCTCCCTTTTCTGCTCCTTTTACTGAATAGGTGATCACCAATGTGTGCCTCGAAGTGGGGGACTCATTAGCTCTGTTTGTGAATGCCTGATGTCCAACATGCCGGTATCAGAATCTCTCATCAAGCTTAGGCCACTTTGAGGCTGTCTCATGTTGGCGAGCCAGCTTGGCTAGCCTGTGAGTATGATATAGATGCCCTTGCCGAGTGACTGGTCAATCAAATAGTGCCCTGGTGATACGAGGGAACACCAGCAACTMAATAAACCCGCCTCAATAGAGTCTGAAAGGCAGCAACTCAATAAACTCGCCAGCCAGATCAGTGGTAATCAACTCAATGTCTGGGCCCACTTGAATGGGCCTGGTTGAACAACAACCAGCAACTCAGTGTAGGGGCCCGCCTGAATGGGCCCGGCTGAACAGCAAACGTCAACTCAATATAGGGACCCGCCTGAATGGGCCCGCCTGAACAGCAAACAGCAACTCAATGTAGGGGCCCTCCTGAAGGGGCCTGACTGAACAGCAACCGGCAACTTAATGTAGGGGCCCGCCTGAATGGGCCCGGCTAAGCAGCATCCAGCAACTCCATATAGCAATATCATAAACTATCTCTGCTTCAAGTGGATCCAGAATATGAGGACTGGAACTGCCGATGCCATCACGGAGGAGGACTGGTGTCGCATACGTAGGGACCAATCACAAAATACCGTATGCTCTGGGACTGGACTGCGCAAAACTGCTTGCGCAGGGACTGAACCGCAAATATCACCTGTGCAGGGAAGATACCGTTTGCGCAGGGACTGAACTGCAATTACGGTCTGCGCAGGGAAATTACCGTCCACGCAAGGATCAGACCATGAATATCTGACGCAGAAGGTACTGAATCAGCAGAAGCATCGCTGCGTAGAGACTGGTCAGCAAGGAATCAAATCAACGTGAGTGGAGTGCCTAATCCTTCCAGCAACGACACTCAGACATCAACCCAACAAGGCACATGTTACATACTGACGCCACACGGGTCCCTTTCGGACCCGACCACTAGACTAAGGGGTACTTAGGCCGGCCCAGCTAAAAGGCCGGACCTTTCTCCCGGTAGACAACCTTGAGGCACCAGTTGGCCTTCATGCAGCAGACCAGGTACAGGCCCAAACGACATGACCGTTGGGCCTGGCAGCGCCCTTGAGGCTGCTGCCCGCCGGTCTGATCTGAATCGTCAAGTTGGACGATTCAGATCACGGCGCGTTGAGGCAGGATTGAGGCCAACCGGCCACCGGCCGGTACTTAGGTCAGTCCAGCGGCCATTCTAGACACCGGAGGAGTACGGCAGCAGTTACGGAATAGCGCTGCGCTAATCTGGGTTTAGCGCAGCTCTGAGCACCGCAGCGCTGATTAGCGCTGACTGACGGTTGGAGATGGCAGACAGACACTACCGGCTTACCTGCGTAGCACCATAGCTCCAGGTTGGAGCCACGGGTCTTCGACAGTTCCAAGGCGCCAGCTTGCATCCGCAGGTAGGAGCCTGGCCGCGGACTCGACCTCTCCACCTCCCCTCTGGCCCTCTCGGACACTCCTTCTTCAGACTTCTTCTTTTTCTTCTTCAGACTTCTTCTTCTTCTTCTTCTTCGTCTTCTTCAGACTGAAGACTATTGATACGAGTTGGACAGAGATCAGTGATTGGACTTCGGTGGAAGGAGGCTGTGATATTCGAGACATTTGCGAGGCCATTGCCTCTATGAGCCCCATAAGGCCCCATTTTTGCAGCCCATCGGCCGCCCTAAGTGAAGGCAGGCTCGACGAGGCCCTCAGGGCCCTTTTCTGGCCACCACGCAACTCAGGGAAATTCAGGCAGTTGCGCAGCGCCAGTTGGTTGAGTGAACCCAGGCCCTGGGCCGCCTGTGTGAATGTATGTGAAGCAGGCCCTGGGCTGAATACAGGTACCGGGCCAAACACAGGCCGAAGGCAGTTGGGCACAGGCAACCACTTCAGGCCCGAGGCCTGCTCTCGTCGTGCTGGGCCTCAGACTACCGGGGCCTACTGGAAGCTTCCTGGGACTGGACGCAGGCAGGCCACTTCGATATAGGGAAGGGCCTGCCTCCTCATTGGCATTCGGGTGCTGGCTGCATGCTGCGCAAGTGCTGCTGCTGCGCTATTTGCTAGCTGGCGCCTACGCTCTCACGGGCGAGCAGGGAAGGAGCACGCAGCCATAGCCGAGCTGCGCTGCTGTAAGCTGGGTGAGGCGCAGGGTGGTCCTTGGGTGCTAGTGGCATCTGTGAGTTGGGGAACGAGGTTGTGAGTGTAGCGCGAGACATACCTGGTGCTGGAAGCGTGCGACATTGGTCGCCATATGCTCGTACTTCGGGAATGNGTGAGTTGGGGAACAAGGTTGTGAGTGTAGCGCGAGACATACCTGGTGCTGGAAGCGTGCGACATTGGTCGCCATATGCTCGTACTTCGGGAATGCTGTTGACGTCATCTTTCGGCTTCGTAGTATAGGCTAGATAGGATCTGCCACATGTAGTCTGGGCGCCGAGCGCCAGATAGGATATGAACTCTGGTTCTTCGTTGATGATGATGGGATTATTTCAGCATTGTCAAATATGAACTCTTGGTGTGTTCTTATTTGGTGAATCTCGTGATGCAATTCTGCTGTTGGTTTGAGGTCAAGACTATCTGGACTCATATGTATGATGCTGTTTGATTGCTGAAGTTCGCTATTGCTCATCTCCCTTGCAATTTGGTATCGGAGCAGTGGTACGATTGCGCTCGTCTGGCGATTGTCTTCTGCCTTATGTGGTACATACATGCGGTCTGCTGGGCGAGTTTGGCAGTAAGTGGTGCATAGTGAGGAGGGTGGAGACGAGTGTGTAGGCGACCCAGGAGGTGAGGGGATCGCCAGGAAGGCTACGTGGGGTGAAATGTGGTCTAGACGGTGTGATGAGAACTATCTAATGTGCGATTGATGCTGAGGTGGAACGGCGAGATAATGCTGGTTGTGCCGATGCAGTGACTGGTCATCGCAATCGCCATTTGGTCATCTGGTGAGATTATCTATGTGGTTGGGGGCAGCTAAATGAGGTACGTTGCTCTTAACCTTATCTTCCCTCTCCGGCACTTCTTACCGTGAGGTTGTGTGTTTCTTCTTGAGAGTCCTCTCATCGTGAGGTGTCGAGTGCGCTCAACCTTGAGAGTCGGCAATGTTCACGTGGAGCATCTGGGTGGAGATGGGTGGAGCTTTTTGAAGGGCCCTGGATGAAGCAGTGGGTCACGGTCACCATGCCAACCCACAGGGAGTAGAGCATGCATGCCTTGCTGCTTGTCCTTTGTTCGGCTTGCTGCGCTGTTAGATGGGTACTACTGGGTAGGCCAGCCCTACAGGAAAGATGAGCACCCGACGTCTATAAATAAACACGGGAAGGGGATATCACTGGTTGTGATCGTCGTCCTGCTGCGACGTAAAATAATTCCTGATGTCACTTGGGGGCGGACGTTGAAATACCTCTGGATCAGCCAGTGATGTAAGGCGCGCGACACGCCGAGGATAAATATACGTGCAAGGCTGGCCAGCTCAGTGGATACTCGGGGCACAGGGGTGGGCCGGACACACACCTTTAGACACGCAACGCTCTCCAGATCGCTCAGGGATGCTGACGTCAAGTGATACTCAGGGGAACTAAGGGAGGGGTTGATTCCAGGTGATAAGTTCGAGAAAATTCCATGTTGTCCTATCCACACAAGTGATTCTATTTTATGTTTTTGATTAGTTAGATCTACTGCCATTGACATCTGACAGACAGCATTAGTTAGAACTGTTTATTGTTCCTGGTGCTTCTGTTTGCGGACTAGTCAGACTAAAAATAGTTTCAGTTGTAGGAATCTGACTTACCTATTGACCTCAAGTGATATCTGTTCCGAAATAGCCACCAACTAATTAGTTGGTCTGTGCACTATGTTGCGGTAGGCATCTTGAATGATCTAGTGTCGACAGTGCACAATGTTGTAGCCTATGAGCGACGAGGAGGACATCGGAGAGGACGACCGTAGAATCTTGCGATCGGGTAGACGCCCGATAGCCCACGTGTCCTTAGGACCGGAGGGTGATAGGATTCTGTTCCGCCGGCTTAGGGAGAGGCAGCAGCAGCAGAGGAGGGCTAGAGCAGCCGAGGCCAGCAGAAATTTAGGTAGCGAGGCCGGTGCTACAGCAGCCATGACCACTACAACCATGGTCACTTCTGCGCAGCAGACTTCCCAAGCCAGTAGTTCAGGTGTCGTCGGGTCAACGGTCGCGCAGACCGTGAGCCAGTCCACTGGCGTTATGGCAAGCCAGGCCGCGGTGTTGACTCCAGAGGATGTCGCCATCCAGCAGGTAGCCCTGCAGGAGGCACAACTACAGCGGGCATTAGGAGAGATAAAAGCGGAAAAGGAAAAGATGATCAGAAGAAGAGCCAGGATGCAGCGGAGAGGGGCAGATATAGAGGAGTTAGATACGATGGACCTGATGCATATGGATGATGATGTGAAGGTAGTTAGGAAGGCCCTGCTAGGCGTAATAGAGATGCAGGAGCATAAAACTACCATCCTTCAGGACATTCAACAGAGCCTAGCCGCTTTGGCAGGCCGTGCTCAGGCAGCACCATCACCAGCCGGGCCTGGTGCTTGGCCCGTGCCATATCCTCCTTTTTCTGTCCCACCGGTGATCGGGGTATCCCCATATGTAGCCCCGTCATCGGTTGCTATCGTTTCCATGGGCATGCCGCTGTCAGGAGGGGTAACAGCAGGGAGTAGTTTGCAGGTTCCTATTCAGACAGTGTTCACTCAAAGTTCGTCGCAGGTTGCAGTCACCACGCAGCCTGTGCAGCCTCAGGGCACGCAGCCCCAGCAGCTAGCACAGCAACCTGTGTCACCGGGTCCACAGCCCGGAGTGGTGCAGGGACCGGGACAAACTCAGTGGGTTCCAAAGATGGCCATCGCCGCTCCCAAACCTTTTACAGGGGATAAGAGGGGCGAAGACCTCGACACGTGGTTGAGGGCAGTGCCGGTCTACGTCAGGTGTAAACTCACCTTGCCGCACGAAGAAGTGTTTGTGGATGCTTCCTACCTAGAGGGTAGTGCAGCAAGATGGCTGAGTGGTTTGGTACAACTCCAGGGGTATGGTCATGACTTCCGCGCTTGGGCGGCCTCCCATAAATTGGAGGACTTCCTGAAGATGGTGGAAGAAAGGTGGCATGATCCTCAGGAGGGTCGTCCACCTCGATGGTTGAACCATCGTTGTCGACAAACATCAAGCGACCTTCCGCCTTCCAGTTAGGAGGCAGTGTTTTCTTTCTTCCATCCATAGTGGGTGCCTGTCCATGCCCTATCTTAGCTTCAAGGTCTAGGGCTACCTTGCTGAACGAAGGAAAGTTGTGCATATTGATATTGGCCTCCTTTGCCAACTGGTTCCTGAGAGGCTGAGAAAAGCATCTCAAGTACGAAGTCAGTAGGACCTGGGGGTCATAGCGCACCCCTGGGACACAGATCAGACGCTCTACAGCGTCGGTGGCTTCCCTTACTGACTTAAACTTCTGCGTGTGCAGTGTCAGGATCGCATCAGAGTAGGTTCAGAGGCAGGCAGCATAGATGCTTCAGAGGGTGGAGTAGTCGCTGCCGTATCTCAAAAAGGTAAGGCGACCGGTAGACGCCGTGGAGGCTCCCGGTCTAGGAGTCAAGTTGACCCCAACGCTCCTCCATGGGAGAAGGCGGGTTTCACTGAGGACGTGTGGAGAGACCGTTACTCTCGGCAGACCTGTATTCGTTTTGGCCAATATGGCCATAGCCAGTTCAAGTGCCGCAACAAGAAGGTGACAGAAAAGATCCCACCTATGATTGGGCAGGTGTTGGGATCCTCTCAACCCGTTGGTAGCAATGTTGCCAGTACTTCAGGCAGTGCTCCGGGAAACACATCGGGCCAGTAGGAATAGTAGTTGTTCCTGCTAGGGTCGAGATGGTGGAGACACCCTCACCATCTCGAGAGATGGCCCAAGCTACCGACCCCAACGTCGTCCCACAAGCACATTCATACCCATCGAGCCTATGTTCGATGAATGTGTTCGAGTCCTTAGAGGAGCTAGAGGTGGAGTGGTCTAGATCAGACCCGCTAGCTTCCTGGACGACACTAGTCAAAGCCCCGAAGGGTGAGATGTTCGTCAACGAGGTTGTCATTGGCGGCCGCAAGGCCGGGGCCTATTATGACACTTGCTCGACTAGGAACTTTATCAGTCGCGCGTGCGTTGAGAGGCTGCGTTTACAGGGGCGAGTGCAGCGCCTGAGTCGACCTGTGGAGTCGACCTGTGCCAACAAACAGCGCATGGTAGTCAACGACTCCCTCCAGGATGTTGAGTGTTGTTTCCCGTACGCGGGAGGGGACTTGAGGCATCGTGTCTCGTTCCTAGTAAGTGACGAGCTCCCAATGGACATGTTACTAGGTATGTACTACCTCTCTGTAGCACAACTTCAGTTTGACTGGGACCGAAAAGTGGTCAAACACACTTTGTCAGGTGGAGGGACCGCCAGATTACATAAGTTCAAAGCTAGTAGTCTGATTGAGTCCTATGGGTGCATGTGTGTGGCCGTGTTCTACAACTATTATAAGCAAAATCAGGAGGAGGGTATGTATTTAGTCTATGTCTCTGCTGCACCCGAGCCGGTGAAAATGCCGCCGGAGATAGAGGGAGTAGTTGCTAAGTACCCTGATCTATTTGAAGAGCCGACAAGGGTTGTTGAGAGGGAGGTCGTCCACGCGATAGAGATTATCCCAGGGTCTAGTATCCCGAAGGGTAGGATCTATCGGATGTCTCCAGGCGAGCTTGATGAGCTTCGCCGCCAACTCAAGGAACTCGTAGAGAAGGGTTGGATCCGGCCGAGTGTCTCTCCTTATGGGTCCCCAGTTTTATTCATACCTAAGAAGAAGGAGGGTACTGTTAGGATGTGCATTGACTATAGGGGCCTCAATGCCATCACTGTAAAGAACAGAGAGCCCCTACCGCGCATCGACGACCTGTTAGATAGAGTGCAAGGGTGTCGGTACTTCAGTAAGATAGATCTGGAGTCCGGGTACCATCAGATTGCAATCCGGGCCGAGGATCAGCACAAAACCGCTTTCCAGACCAGGTACGGTCTTTACGAGTTTGTGGTGATGCCTTTTGGCCTTTGCAATGCTCCTGGCACCTTTCAGAACGCTATGAATCGGATATTTCATGACTACTTAGATAAGTTTGTCATCGTGTACCTCGATGACATACTTATTTTTAGTAAGACTGTCGAGGAGCATGTTGCACATTTGGATTAAGTCCTCAGCCTCTTGCGACAGCACAAGTTCAAGATCAACGGTGAGAAGTGCGAGTTTGGCCGCACCCGTGTCTTGTACTTGGGTCATGAGATTTCCGCGGAAGGGTTGAAGCCCGATGACGCGAAGGTGGCCAGCATTCGTGATTGGCCACATCCTCAGTCTTTGACTGAGATGAGATCTTTCTTGGGAATGACAGGCTACTATAGGACTTTCGTTAAGAACTAGAGCATAGTGGCCGCTCCTTTGACTGATCTGACCCGCCTTGACACCCCATGGGAGTGGACAGATGAGTGCGAGGCTGCTTTCAGACATCTGAAGCATGCGTTGACGCACTACGAGGTCTTGAAGCTTCCTGATCCTGACAAGCCGTTCATAGTCACCACGGATGCTAGCCAATATGGCATTGGCGCCGTGCTCGCGCAACAGGAGGGGCCAAAGTTGAGGCCAGTAGAGTACATGTCCAAGAAAATGCCGTCTCAGAAGTTGGCTAAGTCCACTTATGAGAAGGAACTCTATGCGGTGTACAAGGCTCTCACCCATTGGAGACACTATCTCCTTGGGAGGTTCTTCATCCTCAGGACTGATCATCAGACCCTGAGATGGATGAGAACCCAGCCGGTGCTCTCTGACGCTCTCAAGCGTTGGATTGAAGTCATTGAGCAATATGACTTTGACCCTCAGTATCTCAAAGGGGAGTACAACAAGGTTGTTGATGCCTTGTCGCGCAGACCGGACTTCTCAGGTACGCTGATTACTGAGTTCGATCTAACAGATAATGTTACTCAGTCTCTAGTGGAAGCCTATCGCGAGGACCAGTTTATGTCTGAGATCATACGTAGACTTGAGGCGAAGGACAAGAAGACTTCCGCCGAGTTTGAATTGGTCAATGGCTTGCTGTTCCTGGAGAAGGCAGGGAATAAACGCTTGTGTGTTCCAAATAGCGAGTCTTTGCATAGTTTGTTTTTAGGTGAGTGTCATGATGCCACCGGCCATTTTGGGTATAAGATGACCGCAGCCAACTTGCTGCAGCGGCTCTGGTGGCCCACGATGATGCGAGATGCCCAGCTGTACGTGGAGACTTGTCAAGTTTGTCAACGGGACAAGCCACGTACTCAGGATCCTCTTGGGCTTTTGAAGCCCCTTCCGATTCCGGAACGGCCTGGTGAGAGTCTGTCCATGGATTTCATGGATACTCTGATCACCAGCAAGAATGGGATGCGTCACATCTTCGTCATTGTGGATAGATTTAGTAAGTATGCTAAGTTAGTAGCTATGCCGGAAACAGCAAAGACGGAGTACGTGATCCGAATGTTCAAAGAAAACTGGGTTAGAGACTTTGGTTTACCGAAGTCTATTGTTAGTGACAGGGATGTCAGGTTTACCAGCGAGTTGTGGAAGGCCGCTGCTGCAGAGCAGGGCACTCAGTTGCAAATGACTTCTGGGAATCACCCTGAGGCTAACGGCCAGGCCGAGCAACTGAACCGCGTTGTACAACACCTGTTGAGGCATTACATCAAGCCCAACCAGGTGGACTAGGATGAGAAGCTTGCACTCATCGCCAGTCTGTATAACAATGCGGTACACAGTGCCACTGGGGTGAGCCCGAACAGTTTACTACTGACTTTCAAGCCTAGACTAGCCCTTGACTTTCTCCTTCCTGAGAATCAATCAACTGCTGCACCGGGTACTTTAGAGTTTGCCTACAGATATGAACAGAAAATGCAGCAGGTTGTAGAACAGATGCAGAAGGCTCAGGCAGCAATGATAGAGTCTGAAAACAGACACCGCCGGCCTTCTACATTTCAGGTTGGGGATAGGGTCTGGGTTAAGTCTTCAGAACTGGGACAGGAGTATGGGATTTCCCGCAAAATCATGCCCCAATACTTTGGACCTTGGGAAGTCTTAGACATCGTCAGGACAGATCCGGATGGGCCATCTTACGTTATCCGGATTCCTGGTCATCTCCGTACTTACCCAGTCTTTCATGCCTCCAAGCTGGCACCTTTCAAAGAAACTGATCAGTTTCCATCTCGTCACTCAATGCTGCCCCCAACCATGGACGGAGAGGTGGACATCGATGATATTGTGGATCACAGAGAGTTGCCGGTATCAAGACCCGCAGGCAGGGGACGTCCTCCGAAACCAAAGCTTCAGTACCGCGTTCGGTTCCGGCATCACACAGATCAGAAGGAGGACCACTGGTTCACCAGGGAAGAGCTCATGCAGACCGCTCCTCAAGTTGTAACGCAATACGAGAGATCTCTGCAGAAGGGAAAGCGCCCTATGATTGAAGACTGAGCTTCTCAGAGGACTGTTGAAGCTAAGGAGGAGGGAATGCGAGGCCATTGCCTCTATGAACCCCATAAGGGCCCATTTTTGCAGCCCGTCGGCCGCCCTAAGCGAAGGCAAGCTCGACGAGGCCCTCAGGGCCCTTTTCTGGCCACCACGCAACTCAGGGAAATTCAGGCAGTTGTGCAATGCCAGTTGGTTGGGTGAACCCAGGCCCTGGGCCGCCTGTGTGAATGTATGTGAAGCAGGCCCTGGGCTGAATACGGGTATCGGGCCAAACGCAGGCCGAAGGCAGTTGGGCACAGGCAACCACTTCAGGCCCGAGGCCTGCTCTCGTCGTGCTGGGCCTCAGACTACCGGGGCCTACTGGAAGCTTCCTGGGACTGGGCGCAGGCAGGCCACTTCGATATAGGGAAGGGCCTGCCTCCTCATTGGCATTTGGGTGCTGGCTGCATGCTGCGCAAGTGCTGCTGCTGCGCTATTTGCTAGTTGGCGCCTACGCTCTCACGGGCGAGCAGGGAAGGAGCACGCAGCCATAGCCGAGCTGCGCTGCTGTAAGTTGGGTGAGGCGTAGGGTGGTCCTTGGGTGCTAGTGGCATCTGTGAGTTGGGGAACAAGGTTGTGAGTGTAGCGCGAGACATACCTGGTGCTGGAAGCGTGCGACATTGGTCGCCATATGCTCGTACTTCGGGAATGTTGTTGACGTCATCTTTCGCCTTCGTAGTATAGGCTAGATAGGATCTGCCACATGTAGTCTGGGCGCCAAGCGCCAGATAGGATATCAACTCTGGTTCTTCGTTGATGATGATGGGATTATTTCAGCATTGTCAATTATGAACTCTTGGTGTGTTCTTATTTGGTGAATCTCGTGATGCAATTCTGTTGTTGGTTCGAGGTCAAGACAATCTGGACTCATATGTATGATGTTGTTTGATTGCTGAAGTTCGCTATTGCTCATCTCCCTTGCACATTGGAGATAGTTGGGATTGATACCAGGCGGCATCACAAATCGGACATCGGTTACATTAGGATTCGGTACCTCCGACATTGGTGACTTATGTCCACGACATTCTGATTTTGTTCTGTGACATTTTGGGCTACCATATCGGTGACCTTACTGGTTTCTATCTCGGTGACATCTGGCGCTGTCCATATCTCCCACCTCCATCGTCTCTCCTCCCACCATTCATCTGTGTATGACTGTACGGGGCCTGAAGCATCGTCTATGTAAGGCTTCAGACCCCCCTTTGAGTGATGTTTGGGTAAGTTCACTCTATGTGAGTCAGACCATTTCTCAGACTTCCGCTGTATACATGCTCATCCTATATTGGTTGATCTTTGGTTCTGCCCATACTTGGTGACGGATTCACTAGTATGCAACAGTTTGGTATCGGGGCAGACCCATTAAGTGGATATGCTCACAGGGTAATTCTGATTAGGGAATCGATTGCTTCCATAAACCGGAAATTCCGCGAAATCACGCAAAATTAGGGTTAAGGTCCGCAATTTTCGCGAATTTATTTTCCCCCTAATTGTTAAAATTCCGAATGCGGACTTTGGCCTTCTGAAAAACGGACTATTTTAGGTTGAAATTCATGAAATTTCACATTTTTGCAAAATTGAAAATTCGAGTGTTTTTCCTTTTTAAAAGGGCCTTTACCTGATGCAGGCCTCAGGCCTCGTAAAAGTAAAGCAGCGTGAAAGGGTATCTCGCCAGGGCTCAGAAACGTGAAAGCAGGTCAAAGGTCAAGTTCTCT